TTAATGGCAATTATTGATTTTAGTAGTTTTTTTTTTAGACTTTCTCTCATACATGTAATGACATATTTAAAGGGGCCCTATTATGCTCATAGCTGGAGGCTCTGTTATGATTGGTCCCCTGCTTAGAGATGTCCCGCCCCTTAGCCTAGCATGTACAATGTGCAGGAGGGCTAGACAATAGAAGTGTGAGTGTTGCATAGTAATATTACTATTATGTGGAAGTAAACAAAGGATTACAATCAAGGCATTTCGTGCAGGGGGGAGTGTGTGGGGGAGAAACTCCCTCTAGGGGGAACTTTGGGATTTAAGCCTTTGCAGACCATTTACATGCACTAACACCTATATAACACACTACAGGAAAGGGATAATCCAGAAAATAATAATAGGTCTTCTTTAATTTACAACATAGCAGTTGTTATTTTGCACCTTTTATTCCAGCGTAGTATACCTTTTATTTATTTAGGAATACTTCAAATAATAAAAAATGGTATATTTCATTTTGGTTTATAAAGTTCCACCTCATCTTACATGCTTCCTCCGCCACCAGGCTCAGACGTAGTGGAGTGGCTCTTCCACCACATCGAGGGATTCCAGGACCGCCGCGAAGCCCGGAAGTACGCCAGCAACCTGCTGAAGGCCGGCTTCATCCGGCACACCGTCAACAAGATCACCTTCTCCGAACAGTGCTACTACGTCTTCGGAGATCTCAGCGACTGCGAGAACTGTGAGTTCCCCCGAAAAAACAGAGACAACAAAGCGCGACTCAGATCTGTCTGCATGAACGTTAACGCTTAATTACATTTGCACACATTCCTCTTGTGAACACTCTGCTGCTTGTGAGTAAATCATGTGACATTTCCATTATGGAAGGATTTCTATAATGTGCTGCCATCCCTAAAGTTAGACTCTGCAGAAAGCACAACAACAAGCAGAGGAGAAGCAACAAACTGCAGCGGGTTCGGTTGTAAAAACATGTCTCTCTCTTCGATCATCTTCATGGGTGCCGCGTCGGCTGACTTTAAATATATTAAAAGATTTGAAGACATAATGCAGGGATTAGGTTAATTGTGTTTAACTGTAGATCTTTAAGGAACACTTTGTATCCTCATGTATCTCCTCTCTCTACCCCGCCCAGACATGGCCAACCTGTCGCTGAATGACAATGACGGCTCCAGTGGGGCGTCAGACCAGGACACCCTGGCCCCCCTGCCTCTCCCTGGGGCCTCCCCGTGGCCCATGATGCACACCTTCCCCTACCAGCCCTACCCCACACATGCCTTCTCCAGCCAGCCCCCTCCCTACCACGAGCTCACCAGCTACAGCTACGCCCCGGGCTCCACCGGCAGCCAGCACAGCGAAGGTGAGACACACAGCGGTCAGCAGCAGGTGTAAATCTGAGGGGACATTATACCGGTTCCACTCACTCATTACAAATCACTGCTGTGCAAAGAATACCATGAGTTTTTATGTCACTCTGCTATAGTTGCTGCTTACAGTTTATGCCATTTCTTGTATGAAAAAAATTGTACTATTAAATATTTCTTACTGAATGTTTTTTGAGCTTTGAGCAGAAACTGTTATTACAAGTTTTCTTGCTCAAAAGTGCGTCTCACAAGGTGTAATGACATTTCTTTTCTGCCCCCAGGGAGCCGAAGCAGTGGATCGACGAGGAGCGAGGGGGGGGGTCGCCGCAGCACTAAAGGACCGGGCAGCACCGTCGGCGGGGGGGAGAAATCCCCCTCTGGCGGGGGCGGAGAAGGCGGAGACTCTCGCTCCGGCAGCGGCAGCGAATCAGAATACTCCACCCGCAGCAGCCTGAGGCGCGGCCACGGCTCGGCGGCCCCCAGCGAGCACAGCCACGCCTCCTCCCAGCGCTCGCACCACCACCGCATGCCCCAGCCCCCCCACATGTCCCCCTACCCGCCGGGCATCCTGCCGTACAACCCCATGATGGTGATGATGGTGCCCCAGCACGCACACCCCGCCATGACCGCTCACACTCTTTCTCACCCGCAGCAGATGTCCGCGGCCCAAATGCACCCGGCTCTAGCCCAGATGCCCTCCTCCACCCCGGGGGGGCCTCCGGGTGCCCCCCCCACCCGTGACCTGGGCGCCGTGCCCCCAGAGCTGACTGCATCACGCCAGTCTTTCCACCTGGCCATGGGAAACCCCAGCGAGTTCTTTGTGGACGTCATGTAGATTTCATTTGTTCTGTCTCGGTGTTGAGTGACCATTCACGTGAAGTTAGCGTACGGTTCCCACTTGTTTTGACGAGGGTCTGGCGGTAGCTTTATGAGCTCTCAAGGGCCTATTGGAGTGAGGGCACTTGTTACAAATTTGGTGAGAACAGGGTTTAACTTTGACAAAGAAAATAAGACAAAATGAAAACGCAGTAAATGTGGTATATGGTCTTTTCTTTTTTTAAATACACTACACAACAGTTATTTTCTCAAAGCTCAATCCACAATGACCAGTTCTGCTTTTTTATATCAGTAGATCTCAGGACAGATTTTGATTGTCAATCAGAGCTGCTCAACACTTTTTTTTTCTGCAATCCTCAAAATGGATTAAATATATTATAGGCGGGGGGGAAAGGTTCCCAAATCAACTACGAATGTCAGAGCCAAGAAGCGCACAGACCGCAGTTCAACACTAGAGGGTGCCAGGAACACTGTGTACTTGAAAGGATACAATCCTGTAGACAGGTTGGCAGCACAGGAGCATATTGAGTGCCTTACTCTTTGCATTTTCTGACATATTTTCACACTCCAGGTACATGAAACCAACTCATCATGTTTCAGCATTGTTTGACAATGAACTTTTCTGTATATACCTACTACTCCTATGTAAATGCAACACTACAAAAGCTCTAATGTGAAAAAATAAGGTCCAAAAATGTCAGTTGAACTTGTGTTTAGTAGTCACTGTCTAGGCCTAGTCGTCAAATAACTCTTATCGTGAGCAGTTTTTCGGTATGGGACTCTAGCGGCTTAACGGTACTGATAGGTGAAAAGACAAGATGCTGAAAGCGGTACTTTTTGATAACATATCTTAAGTAACTGTGATCCAAATGCCCCATGCTTATTTTTATGTTACTGACTTGCATTATTCACCCGTTTCATTTTTGTATGACTGACTATATAAATCATGTATAACCGAACTATTAAGGTGCTCAATGAAGATTCAACATTTCAAAAAAAGAATGACATGGACAGTGTCACATTGTTTGATTTCATATCGCCACCTTTGTTTGTGTACTTGAGAATAAATTTGATACTTACATACTGTTCAGACTTCTTTATTTCAGGAGGGTATTCAAACGTTTGTTAGTTTATTTATTTTTTTCGAGCGTGTAAAACTAAAGAAAATACAAATGAAACAAAAGGTGACACAGACATTATACAGTACTATACAAATGAATGCAATAACAAAACGAAACATTTAATTAATAATTGAATAATCTGTAGTATCATTGTCTGATATCAATAAACAACAAAGCTTCAGCTAATTACACATCCGAAAAGGGGTCGGAAGAAGTTTACACTTATTTAATCTGACCCCTTTTTTTTTTTACATCTTAATATGTTAACACACATATTTGTGAGCTGGGAATGTTCTCATAAGTTGTGTAAATAAGTAGACTTGAGCAACAACTTTTGGTTTGCTTTCAGTGTTTGTTTACCTTTCTAGGTATTTGTGAAACGGTTATTTCTGTCTTGGTATAAATATTATATTGCCTCTTTGCTGGGTCAAACTGTAAACAACTGCAGCTACAGCATTAAACTATCTTTTAAAACCTTAAGCAACAAACTTTTAGTTCAGTATTTATGTGGGGGCTAAAACATAGTGGTATACATTTTTAGACATTAGGCACAATTGAGATTATTTTAGGTTTGTCCGAGTTTCAGTTCTTGAAAACGATCTATTATAATACTCCTGAAAACCTGAAGATATAATCACATGGCAGGATGTATTGTAGACCCCTTTACTTTCTGTTTGTACCATAGTCATATATTTGTAATGTTTAATTTTTTGTATGTATTTGCAACCTGTAAATATATATACATAAAAAATAACTGCGATGTTTTTATTTGACTGATTTCTTTAAATAACTATATTGAGTTGCTTGTATAGAATACATTTGTTTATGATTCTACTCAGGGGCGTTTCCTGGACCTGGAAACATTAGGGGCTTAGCCCACATTGGCGGCGCCAGAGATTTTCTTTTGGGGGTGCTGTGGGGTAGCTTGACGTTTCATAGAGGGTGCTCAAACATGTAGGGTTTCCCATTAAGAGATCTATGGATACATCTCTCAACACCCATATGAAACAGATTTTTTTTTTCTTTATGTATATTTTACAAATCACACCCCTTCTAAACGGTATTCTTGTTTTACTGTCATAGTATAACTGTTTTTAATTTATTCTCTTATTTTATAACTATAATGATCATATGAAATATCCAATGCCTTGGAAATAATCTTTTACGTAAAAATTGCATTCACTGAACGAGGGAAATCACAATCCTGCCGTCCTCTCTAGTGTCATGATGAGGTTCAGGCAAAGCACAATTAATGTATTATATCCAGGGGTGCACATCACTTTTTTTATGAGTTACTCAGATGAGTACCAGGAGACAGCGTTTGGTACTCACCCCTCACGAAGCGTGGTCCTCCTCAGTGTCTCCTTCACTGTCCTCTATTTACACTTCTTGCATAGATGATGAAGATGATGAAGATGCACCTCCCAGTCTCTTTTTAAGCCTCCGATTTGCTTTCTCCAAAACTTGTTGCCAAAACTGTGAAGTCCTTGCATTTCCTGAGGCCAAGTTGAAGGATCAAATACTAAGAAATTATCACATTACTTGAAGTCATCTGATTTCAGATGTGGGAAGTTACTAAGTACACTTATTCAAGTAGCCTGTACTTAAGTACAATTTTGAGATATTTGTACTTTACTTGACTTTGATGCTACTTTGTACTTCTACTCCACTATACAGTTCAGAGGTAAATGGTGTACTTTTACTCCATTACATGTATTGAATATCTTTAGTTACTTTACAGATGTGGATGAATGATGTGAAATATAATGAAGTGTTAGATTAGACTTTAGTTCCACCTGGAGTAAATTCACAAGCTACCCTGCAGTATACAAAGTCATTCAAACTAGCTGCACCTTTACCAGCTTTGAGAACACTTGAATGATCAGTAATTATAAAACATATCATATATATTATTCTGAAATGGACCAATCTGCATAAAGAATACTTTTACTTTTGGTACTTTAACTATATTTTGATAATACTTTTCTAATTTTACTTGAGTAACATTTTGAATGCTGGACTTGTACTGTAACAGAGTATCTGAGTACTTCTTCCACCTCTGTCTGATTTCAAACTATACCATTAACACCCTGAGTAAGTTTGCAACTGTGTGTTTTACTCCACTTTGTTGTAAATGAAACTGCAGCAGCTTGACCACAGAGCGTGAACGTTGTGATTAGCTGATTTTGCGCAGTTCTCCAGTGTGTGCGCGGGGCACAGAATGTGCACAGGGGAGTCTCCCACTACAGCGAGTTGGCGGAGTTTTGGCACAATTCTGTTGTTCATACCGACGTTAACCCTGTCTGTGCACACGATAAACAACTCTGCCTCCTGTAGCTTCACAGGTCAGTCGGCTATGTCCTGCGCGGCTCAGCCAGCACCCAGTACAATATGTCATAGAAAGTCCGAATATTTTTTTGCAGGGAGCGAAACGGCAACGTAGCAACGTAGCTGCTGTTTATTTTTATTTTTTAAATATCTAGTAGTTTACTACATTGAATGTTGACAAGAAACACGTGTAGACAAAATATGTGTTTTGTTTTGATATTTTGAGTTACGCAAAGGGGCGGAGTGACACAAGTGACATTATGCAATTCAGATTTTTACCACGCATGCGTACCTGCGTACCAGTTATGTGCACCCCTGATTATATTATTGAGGGAGAATTGTCCGAGGCTATAGAAAAAACATTCGGGGCTTTAGGCCAGGCGACGCCACTGATTCTACTGTTTCTTTCCTATTTATGCATTTCATATTTCAGTCTCGAACCAGCCGATCCTGTAAAACTATATATATATATATATATATATATGTCCTGTAAAACTACAAATCCCATGAAGCACTGTACATTCCATGAAGCACTGTACATCCGGTGAACAGTGCGTCGAAGAAGAAGAAAACAGGTTCCAACTTAGTCATTAGGCATTAAACGGCTACCTAACGGACTCAGCGGACGTGTCATAATAGAACTTCTACAGGTGTGTACATTAGTGCTTAAGTTATATTCCTTTCGAAGGAATACATTTACTTTAACTGGGTTTTCATGTTTTTATTTAGTAAAAACTGGACAGGTTACAAAACAAACTGACGTCGTTACGTAGCTGCTAGCCACCCGCCTTTGCGACGTATCTGTTAGCTCCTTGGTTTCTTTCTGTGTAAGAAAAACGTGTTATTAAGCTGATTACAACGTGTTTTTCCCTATTTTTTTTTTTAGAACAAAATTAAATCATGCTGCTTCGTAAAGTGAGCCAGTCTTCGAAACTATGTGGATCCATTCTCAGGATTCCTCCCGTGCTATCAGGGTAAGTAACGTTAAGGTGTACAGCTGTTAAACATATCGTCTCTTGTTAAAATGACCACGAAGATGACCCACTCTGATTCAAAAGTCACCTATATTTTCTTGTCTGGACTACAGAGGGCAGCGTCAGGCCGGGGCTGTGGTTTCAGTGCAAAATGCTCGTCTCTACGCCAGCCAAGCTGCAGAGGTAACGTTACAGTTAAATTACCCTACATTATAATAGAGAATCCGATTTTATTCAGCTTGTTTACCATAATTAGGAGTATCTTTATGGTCCATATATGGCCCGGGGCAGGGGCATGCTGACATAACGTTGGCATCCCCTCCCGCCGGATGTAGGGGAAAGTTCACTGGTCACGTGACTCAGTCATAAAGGTGACACCATGGAAGTGGGTGACACTGCTGCTGTCTCGGACAGTAACAGGGACGATTTTAATCGTGTTATACTATATATCTTATATACACCATAATATATTTTGTCATTTTGAATCTCAATATATAGCAGTTGAAGTTGATTAGGTACCAGTATTACAATTTACAATATACAGTAGTTGAAATACACATGCAGCTCATTTAGTTATGGAAACAGATGCTTTAAGCCTGATAAATGAGTTATGATATATAATAATAACATAATTTAGCTGAATTTGCAGCACACCTGCCTTCCTTAATAAGTATTATTGTTAAATTGTTTTGGCAAAAATAATGATCAAAAGATGTTTAAGCCAAATCAAATTTCTAGGTGTCTCACTAAGTACATTTCTATTAACCAAAAACCAATTGATATGAGCTTTGGATTTGATTGTTGGAATGAAAATAAGGATGTCATTAATTCAGTTGTTCAAAAACACAGTGGAGGTTATCACAGAGAATTTAAATGACAGATTCACTCTGAGGTACCAGTTTATTATCTGCATAATAAAACCCTAAACAATACCACTGCCCTGTTTATAATCTTTCTCTAATCGTGCTGTTATTGACTCAGCTGACTGGATGTGCCCTTGGCATCACCTTTCACCCAGTTGGAGCTTCCTCTAGCTGAGCGGTTGCCCTTGCTGGAATTAGACCTTCATTTGTGTTTACTTTGGCTGATAACACTGGCATTTGGATATGGAAGGCTTGGCAATATTATATTAATATTATATTGATATAGTGATAAGAGACTAGTTATCGTCTTAGATTTTCGACAATGTGATGTTGCATGTGTTTGTCTTTCCAGCTTTTAACTTGCTTTTAAACACTTGGTCATTATGTCTACATTACCAATGATTATTGATCAAACCCTACGATATTATCGCAATATCAAGGTATTTGATAAGAAATGTTATATTTAGTTTTCTCCATATCATCCAGCTCTGCTTTACCATGACATCTTTAAAAGAGAGATTTCGTCCAACCATGTTCTCATTTGAAGGAATATGCTTTTATTTGCACCAGATGTTATTTAAGCCTCACTTTCTTGCAGAAGCATATAAAGATTCCCCTACTTTTGTACTGACTTGATCCGTTCGAAAGCTCATGCTCTGTTCCCTTCAACATCTGTTTCCTCTTCAGGCAGTGCTGGACAAGCAGGCAGCGATCGGCACTGATGCTGTCACTCAAGTGGAAAAGAAGACGGCTGCTGCTGTATGTCTATTCTCTATTACTATTATTATAAACATAATATATTTAAGGTCATGTTTATATTCCCTTTTTTGTTTTTTTTGATTGGACGTGCTTTTCTTCTTTTGACTTCCACAGGAATCCAAATCATTCGCTGTCAACATTTTCAAAGGGCAGATTGCAACTGCCCAAGTGTTCCCCTACCCTTCAGGTAAATCACAGGAGATGATCTTTCATTCCAAACCTATGTAGTAAAGTTGTAGTTGTGAAATAACATGTTGTGTTTGTCGTAGTCATGAACGAGGAGCAGGAGCAGTTTCTCAGAGAGCTTGTGGGGCCTGTCAGCAAGTTTTTCCAGGTACTTCCACCTTTTTGAGATCTATGTCCTCGGCCTTACGCTCACATCCTCTCTACTTCCCTCACACTCGTCCCTCACCCTCCATGTTTCTACTTCCTGTGTGCAGGAGGTGAATGATCCTGCCATGAACGATGCCCTGGAGAAGGTGGAGGATGCCACCATGGAGGGCCTGAAGGAGATGGGGGCCTTTGGCCTGCAGGTGCCCGCTGACCTGGGGGGCCTCGGCCTCACAAACACACAGGTACGTCTGCCTAATTACATCTATGAATATCTACTCTATAGCACATACACACCTTTAAACATGGTAATGTGGTTAATTATGTAAATTGTAAACAGGCGAATATAATGAATGTAATGTGTTGACCTCATCCTACAGTATGGCAGGCTGGTTCAGATCGTTGGCAGCCATGACCTGGGGGTCGGCATCACTCTGGGGGCCCATCAGTCCATCGGCTTCAAGGGAATTCTGCTTTTTGGGAACCCAGCCCAGAAGGCCAAGTACCTGCCTAAACTGGCCTCAGGTAAGAACACACACAGGGTCTTAAATGCACTCCTGCATGTCTTTTAAAAAAGTAAGTTTTGTGGTGATATCAATGTAATTCAAAGTGCCTCTGTTTGTGTGCATCAAGACTCATTATTTTGAATATGGTTTGTAGCAGAATATTTTGTTAAGAGTAATAATCTCAAACATTTTAATACCGTTTTGGCTTTTGAACTTGTAACCCTTGGGAGTTGGGAACAATCTTACAAAGGACTGATGCAGGAGTTAGGGTTTTGAAGATACAAAAGAAAAAAAGCAGCACAGTGGTCCGGACTGACAAAGTGTCAATGTGATGAATAAAGCTTAAAAACTATTTTGTAAGCTCTATAACTTAATACATACAATGTAAATCATTTCCCCTTTGTGTTTGTCCTCCAGGTGAGACCATGGCCGCCTTCTGCCTCACTGAACCGGCCAGCGGCTCTGACGCCGCCTCCATCAAAACCACCGCGGTCCAGTCCCCCTGCGGAGAGTTCTTCACTGTCACTGGAAGCAAGATCTGGATCAGGTGAGGACTCGGTGGCGCTATCAGCATTTCTTTCTGTCGCCACAAGGAGGCAGCATTGTGCTATTCATCCAGAACTGAAATGTGATAGCTCCTAGTTGTTTGTGTCTTTTCCTAATCCGATTTCCTTTATTCTCCTTTCAGCAATGGAGGTTTGGCTGAGATCTTCACAGTGTTCGCCAAGACCCCCATGAAGGACCCGAAGACCGGCGAGATGAAGGACAAGATATCGGCCTTCGTCGTGGAGAGGGGCTTTGGAGGGGTGACACAGTGAGCACAGCATTTCTTTACATTATTGTCTTTGTTACTTTACAACAAGACTCTCCCTTGATGTTAAATGCAACAGTGGCCTTCAGAGCTGTGGTTCTCTACCTGGGGGTCAGGACCCTGATGGGGACCACAGCAATACTTCTGGGGGTCAGGACCCTTATGGGGACCACAGCAACACTTCTGGGGGTCACCATTGAGATAAAACAGTAAATAAGATATCAAAATTGCAACCTTTTTAGACCTGGGAATTGATTCTTAGTCATGGCCCTCAACTTTGACAGTATATGTGAATGATATTTGGGGGTTGCCTGAATATTTTAAAATTATTATTTATTTATTTCATCGCGTCGTGTGTCTTGTATGTTTCATTGCCGTATGCATGTTTGTTTGTATGCGTGAATAAACTGTTTTTTGAAGCGTTTATGGGTACTTGGAAAAGCACTTTATAAAATAAATGTATATTATGAGGGGGGGTTGCTTTCAAAAAGGGTTGAGAACATAATCTTTAGAAGTTGGAATTTGTATTTCTTTCTCGTTTTGAGCTCTTGAAATCTTTCTAATTTTTTTTAATTTCCCTACTTTTCTCATCACAGTGGCCCACCAGAGAAGAAAATGGGCATCAAGGCGTCCAACACAGCCGAGGTGTACTTCGATAACGTCCGCGTGCCGGCCGACTGCCTGCTGGGCGAGGTGGGGGAAGGCTTCAAGGTGGCCATGAACATCCTGAACAACGGGCGCTTCGGCATGGCGGCCGCCCTGTCCGGCACCATGAAGGGAGTCATCAACAAAGCTGTGAGTTCACTAGCTTTGGTGCCATAAGTGAAGAGGAAGGGAGGCACGTTTCTATGAAGGATTAGCCCCATGACATACTTTCTATATCACTTATATTTAGGTGTTATGCATTGTTGTTTTTCCCATCCGCTATGTCGCTTGTGACCTGTCTGTACTCGGTTGCACCCCCCCTTTCAATTGTGTATCTCTTGCACTGTGGGTTTGTGGGAAATCCCCCGCCTCGTTGTTCACTACGGCTCACTGTCAACTGGGCAACTTCCTGCTGAGGTTACAGGCGCCGAAGAATGAAACGTGCTTCGGTCACCTCTGTTCTTCTTTTCAAATATCTAAAGTTTTGCTGACTTACTATGTAGCCAAAAGTGTTTTGTAACGGCTAAATGTAATAATTAACTAATAATTAAGTTCAAAAGTGTCCGGAATGTGATCACTTTGGACTTTTAGTTAGTTTAGTTATGTTACGCTATACTGCTGATACTGTTTCACAAGCAATAGCTTAATGGACGATGCAGCAGGGATAGACTCTACTGCCTTGAAGAAATAATACAAAGAATAATAACTTTATTTACAATGCACCTTTCAATTCAATTACAGTTTTTTTCAATACAAACAGAGATTGAAATGAACTAAAAACCAGCAACTCAAAACATAATAAAACACATAGGGGTTCCACTTGTTTAGAAATAAAGTGTAGTGTTTATTTTCAGAACCATGTGGCTATTTGTTTCCAACCAATGCGACAGGTTTTTCCCCTATCGTGCTACAGGAGAGACGCTCACATGCTCGCCCACTGCCTAACCAGACTTCCTGTTCATGCACAAGATCTAAACTTCAACATTTTCACTGCATAACAAACTGCGTAGAGTTTACCTCCAGTCTAGAAGCATAAGGACGCTGATATAATATACAGAAAATAACCAGAAGTGGAAGAAATACTCAAGATATTTTTATTTAACTAAACTCCTGTGGACTGAATTTGCAAATTGGCTAGTTACAAAAGCTATAAAATATATGTGGTGGAGTAAAAAGTTAAACGTTTGCCTACAAAATGCAGTGAGTGCTTTCCCTGAAAACCTTTACTTTGCTGCATTCTAGCACGTCCTGTAGCTTTGAATGGTGTGTGATAGTGACGATCATTCTCCTCTTTGATCAGGTGGATCATGCAGCCAACAGAACCCAGTTTGGGAGCAAGATCCACAACTACGGAGCCATCCAGGAGAAGATCGCCCGCATGACCGTGCTGCAGTACGTCACTGAGGTCAGTCCATGAAGCCGTATCCGCACCGCACTCAGATGCACATTTTTCACCGCTTTAATCACTAGGGTTACTGTTACTGATTGTATTTAAAGCGACGGTATCTAACACCATCAAGTGTTGTCTCCTGTTTAACCGTCAATCCCCAGCGTAATCTACACTTACGTTTTTGCTATCTATACGGTTTAAAAAAAAAAGTTGATTTCCTGTCTAACCCTTGTTAAATTAAAGTGCACCTATCATGCTATTTTTAGGCAATAGCATAGGTCTCAGATATATAAAAAATATAAAAACATGTCTGAAGTGTTTTGCTCTAAATATCAAACAGATCACCCATTCTAGCCATGCCTCATATCCCTCTATTTCACTTCCTGTTTCAAAAGTGCTAATTCTGGGGATAAACAGGTCTCTCTTGAGAAAGAGACCCTGTGTCTCAA